TAAAACGGGGGTTTGAAAAAAAGTTTGATTTTCTCAAAGGGAATAAACTTGCCAAACAAATGACCTGGAGGCTGTCATGAAGTAGTTGTTCTCCCTAAGCTCCATAGGGTTTAAAATTTCCAGGATATTCGTACAACATTTGCGGCACAATGATCGTTGTCATGTTGTCATTGGCTCCAAATATAGCAGCCAATGAGGACAACCGAACGGCAGGCGGTAATGTTTCGTAAGCTGTGTTTCCTGCCTCGGTCACATTAATTCACTCGCCTTACCTGAGTGCCTAGAAATTGGCTGTCAAAGGGAACCGGGGGCTGTCTCTGAAGTCCATTTTTTTTCCCTGTGTGACGGGTCAGGGGGTGGTGTGGGGGGGGGGGGGGGGCAGACAGATGACTGCAACACTTTCCCCGTCAGAAGGCAATTGTACGGCGTGTGAGCTGAACACGCACGGCCTTGCCAGAAGAAAACCTTGCTAAAAATACAGTGGGAACAAATGAACCCTTCATCTGAGAGGTCAGCATTATCGCAGCCTGCCCGTTACATAGCTCTGTATTTGCGTCGTCTTGGCATTTAGGTGTAGGAGTTACGCTAGCCACTAATTGCTCTCTTCCTGTTCAAATGAGCTGAAACACCTACCTTACTTTCTGATATTTACGCCAAAGTGTAGTCGATCACGTAAGACTCTATAAGGTTTTATAGGTTTCACTCCTTCCTTTTTTGACAGCTAAGGGGCATTTTCTTTAATAATTGATAGCAGCATGGCTGGAAGCTAAGACTAATATCATAGACTCGTTTTATGAGTGAATGCAAGCTGAGCGGTCGAGCGTAAAAGGGACTTATTTCTCCTCTGAGTCGACCAACTGCTGAAAACTTGGTACGATAAAATCCAAAGGCCTGTAGAAGGAGCCACAAGAGGGGGAAGACGGAACTGGTGGTATCTGGAGGATAATGGGATGGAGGCACTGGCCCATTCAGAGGTGATTCTAGGGACTCCAGGGGCCCGAGGCAAAAACACACCATGGGGCCCCCCAACCCCCACTCCTCCAACATGGTAAAATTTATGACCATTATTTAAGTGTGAAGTCTAAATTAATAATATAATAATATCTACAAAGAGAATTGAATAAGCACAAGTCCTTTATTTTACCGAATGCGCAAATAAAGCAGATTTGTTGTGATGATGTACTTTGTAACCAGCTACCCAGCTCGGGGCCCCAGGAAATTGCTTGCTTTGCCCGTCCTTTCACTATGCCTCAGGGCCCAGTAAAAAAGTACAAACTAATTAACACTGTTGATTAATACTAAATGTAGGCTACTGTACCTACCGTTTAATACATCATGCCTAGGTTACATTTACTGTTACCAGACACAAGCCCCGAATGATTCAATCAGATCAGATGTTTTTTTGGTTTGGATTTTGTTAAACATCACTCGGACACACTCATGCACACAGACATCTTCACTTCACTACTCACAATGCATCTCATTCGGAACGGGTTCAATTGAATTGAAGTGACTTAAATTAAGCACTCCAAATTCCATTGTCTCAAGGGATATCATTTTTAGTGTACTATGTGATTGTTCTATATGATGTAAACTAAAACAATAAAGCATTCTTAAAAAGTATAACAGGTAGGTAAATATGAAAGTGTAGATCAACCGCAAAGATAAGCACACTGCATTTTGTGACACAGTAATGGTATGAGAAACAGTGCCGTAACAAAATGGGGCATTTAGAAAACCATTTTTATTCTGTTAGTAAGTAATAATAATGGGCAAAAAAGCATCTTGTGCTTCAGGTTAACTTCCACACTCCAGTATGACTTCTGTGTGCTTAAGGGCTGCCCTCTAGTGGACAACAAAATGCCAATAACAGTCTCAGTGGGGCACAATACCTGCTCTGCAGAAGCTCAGCAGAAACATGACATTAAAAAAGCAAACAACTGCTTTCAATTATTGTTGCTAAGACACTCAAGTGTGGGGTTAAAATGAAAAATGACACCTAGGCACATTGTGAAACACTTCCCTTGAGCTCAAAAATACACACATACAAACACAGATACAGTATTTATCATTTACAGGATGGAACAATAATGGGGAGATATATCAAAATCAACAAGACCTAGTTTCCCTCACTGGATTGCCTTCAATGACAGAGGCAACCTTGTTCAGTGAAGGATTTGTTATTGAAGTCAAAATAGGTCTCACCTTTCAAGGGATATGGAGTCCATAGCAGTATCTTCATTGGTCCATAAAAACAAAGATCTCTCTGCATCCCCTCAGACCGATTCCTCTGTTTTCATGCTGAGATCCATTTTCTACAGCTTCCTTTGACTCACTAGGTTCATCCCTGTACTCTACAGAGAGCTGCCAAGAGTCAAACGATTGCCATTCAAAACAACTCAAAAAAGGTTCATGTCCCAAACATGTTAAGAGCACTTTAGAAGATAAATGAATATAACATTAACTAAGTATAAATAATAAGAAAATATGAGTTGCTGGATGTTACCTTCTGGAAGTTTCCATTCTTGTTCTAAATTCCTTGGCTGATCTCCAAGTCAGACTAAGAGAATTTGTCAATATTTGGCAATGTTTCTTAGACTCATTTTGGGAATTAAATGGTGGATTTGCAAGTTGCAAGCCCCCCCACCTCCCTTGGAAAAGTTCCCCCAAGTCTTCTGCCTTTCGTTATCCTCGACAGTGCAAATCGACTTGCCAGCTTTGCGTGGCACCCAGACCTCCACTAGAGTCTGGAGAGCATAACACTTAAACACACTTTACTCCTGAAAAAGGGCTTTCTACAGTACAGTTATTCCCCTGCAGTGATTATGACAGACGCTGTAACAAAAGTATCCCAAGACTCTCATCCAGCCACTTACCATTCCTCACTCGGCACTTGGATCCCATTCATCTCAATGACCCATTGATTCGGCCCCATCTACACAGAGGACCAACGAGCCAGAGAGTTATGGCGTTGCGTCTGTGCTCTAGCTCAGCCTCTGAGGCCATGCCAGGGGCCACAGTGAGAGCACCAATCATCACTGAAACCCAAAAATCCCTCACCCCATACACCAACCCCCTAAGATGTCTAACAAATCCCTTGCAATAAAAACAGGAGGGTCTCAGCTCCACCTCTGACCAGCACAGACTAGAATGAGACCCATTATTCAGGACCAGAGTCTGTTATTATTGTCAGACTCAAGACTGTTCAAAGGTGCTACTATATTGTACGGCTCCTTCTGTAGAAGATTCCTATCTTTTAGGCTATACATTTTCTACCGTAGCATATTTTATGTAGCGTGTACCAACTCTGCCCTGCTATGGACTGGAATCCCATCCAGGATGTGCCCCATGGTATCTGGGATAGGATCCAAGCTCCTTGTGATAAGTGGCTAGAGGATGGATGGAGTAATGAATGGTAATAGTCCATTTTTCTTTCAGCCAGTTGTCTGATTGAACTTCCCCCGAAAGAGCAGAACGTCACAGCTGGAACTCCTGACAGAGAAGACGATCAGCCAACACCGACCCACCCGGTGCTTGTTTTACACTGCCCTATACCACCAGTTCATCACATGCAAAAGAAACAAGAGAAAATAATCTCAGTGCTTCCCTCAAAGTTTTGACAGCAGTACATTCTTCTCAGAGGTCCTTGGCCTTGGTTTACTTATTATGTGTTTCATAAAAGATTTACCAGACTGGAAGCCGCAATATTACCACACGCTGTCATGCTGAGTTATTATCTTTAGACCAAAAGATGTGGAGGAAATTAAGGAGAAATGAACAGATAAAAAAATCAAATACTTAGATGTTTATAATGAATGTACAGAAAATAACAAAAGAAGAATAAAGTCAACTGCGACAGGACCGCAAGAGGCATACTGCAGCTGAAACTCACAATGCATTCATTATTATTCTTTACTACAAGCAGGTTCAAAACACAAGGAAAATCGAAGAACTGCAAAAACTAATCACAAAAGCCTTTTTTGAAATAAAAGATTATAAAAAATCAATTAAAAATACCACTAACAAACAATACATTAACTTCAGCTAACCATATATGTTTACAAAGCATTTTAAAAGTCCATTAAAGGCAAGAACCAAAAATAGTTTTGTAAAACAATTTAATTAAGTAAATTACTAAATGTGAACAGCATAAACCAGACATTAAACGAACGACCTATTTTCTTCATTTGTGAATAAAGTACTCTCAGGGTTAATGAAGACATAGACCTTTGCTAGACCACACACTATTCAGTCTATTCACAGAGGTATCTCAAAGGGAACATTTATGGATGCAAACCCTATAAATATACCACCAAGAATGTACCAGTAAATAAATCTTAATATAAATTTAATGAAATAACTACTGACACTCATAGACATATTTAAGTTTCGGGTTTCACAATTATGCTGGCCAGTGAGCGTAATATAGTCACATAAATGTAAACTTAACAGGAAGACATTAAAAGTGGAAGTACTTTTAAATTATGTTGGATAGTAGGACGACTTAATTGATTTTAAAAGGATATCTAATACAGGCTATAAAAAACGCATTAAGAATTTATATTTAAATAGCACAGCAAAGTAATGGTTTCTAGACAATATTTTCTAGCAGTTAGGGCTGAAAAGAATGACCTAAAATTTACTACACTATTAAATAACTACTATTATGGTACTGACTGACAAGAGTACGTACCCAGGGAAATGCTATAAAACTTGGTTTATGATTCAAAGCAACACAAAAGAGAAGTTTTTTTTCTCTCCATCACTGCCAGAACATTTGATTGGGGCATAAAGGAAAGGACAACAAAGTAAAGGAAAGTTCATGCGTGATTTAGAAAGTGAATCGCAGTAGGAAAAAAAAGCTTGAAACAGAAAATGAATCATAAGTAGTGAGATAGTAATGGGGGGCAGGGTTGGGGGGGAGGGAGCAGGGAGAGAGGGGAGGTATAATTACAGACAGAGGAAGAAGTACAGCGAGAGAGAGAGAGAGAGAGAGAGAGGGAGGGAGAAGTAACCCAGCCCACTCCAACAAACCATTCAATCCCTGCACTTTGAGCACTCTGAAAACATCTCCAGAGTTCCGCACATCCCTAGGGCATCTCCACAACGGACGGCCCGAGCCAAACTTCCCCAGGGCAGTACGAGGGACCAGCTCCGCTCCTCTTCAGCCAGAGCAGAACGGCAGAACTGTCCCACGCGCTTTCCTCCACTCCGCAACTGGGATTTTTAATTTTTTTCCGATTTTTGTTTTTGCTTTTTAACTTTAAGACTAGTTTTAATGGTACTATAAGCCACACACACATATACAGACGCAGACACCAGCACACTTTTGTGTTTAGATTTAGTCAGAAATATATTTTCTTAGATCTTTTCTCTTTTTAGAACAGGGGCCACACAGCTAGTGTTTTTGTGTTTTCGTTTTTCTATGTAAGTTTTTACTGACAGTGCTTGCCCAGCACTGCATCTCCTCATTCAGGATGACTCCAGTGTCCCTGCTGCGTGGAATGCTACTTCTCTTCTCTGGGATTTTGGCCGGCAACTGCACCTCTGCCCCTTCGGGGGCCGTGGCCGGGAGGGAGCAGGCGCAGCTCGGGACGACTTCGGCAACGGACTGTCCATCCTGCGCCCTGGCCCACCTGGGCAGGGCGCCCGGCTCGCAAGGGCCATCCGACATGGTGGAGGCTGTCAAGAGGCACATCCTGAACACACTGCGACTGGACGAGCGGCCGAACGTGACGCAGCCTGTGCCGCGGGCCGCCCTGCTCAACGCCATCAAGAAGCTGCATGTGGGCCGCGTGGGCGAAGACGGCAGTGTGGAACTCGAGGACGAGATCCGCGGCCAGGTGGACATGGAGGAGCTGGCTGAGCAGACCTCTGAGATAATCACCTTTGCTGAGGCAGGTGAGTGGCCCAACTGGGGGGGGGTGTGCATGCATGAAAGGGGCTACTATGTCAAAGCACTATGACAACAAAAAAATGCCTACAAACCCAGCCGGACGGGTTTGGAAACCTGCTGGGATACACTCCTGTTTGATAGGGGCAACTAAATCACTGGCAGTGGGTTTGGAAACCTGCTGGGATACACTCCTGTTTGATAGGGGCAACTAAATCACTGGCAGTTCACGCAAACCTGTTGAGCACAGACCAGAGTTTAAGAGACTTGTTGACTTGTTTTGGGGGGGGGGGGCACACAGTAGCTGGGGAACTTTTTTTTAACCTCAGGGCTCCTGGTTACCTCCCGCTGGCTTTAAGAATCAGTAATTATCTGTGAAACCCCAATCATATGCCTCTGGGCTCCAGCGCAAGGTTTTTCTAAGCTCTGTGGCACAGTCACAAGTAGTCTGCTATTCTCTGAAGTTCCAGAAACAAGGGGGGAAAAAAAGCTTTTCTGACAGAAAGCTCTTCAGGCTTGGGGGGGGGGACCCTCTTTGAGTTTTTTTTTTTTCCTTTTTCTCCCGAGGCAGTTTAAAAAGCACTAATTGTCAGCTGAGTCGAGCATTCAAAGGTGCTGTCAGCAGCTCAAATGGGCAAAGGACTTTATTATGCTCCGGGACTGTCCTCGGAAAATGCACGTTGCACCTGTAAAAAGAGCACCGCTCTCAGATCCTGAAATGACCTGGTTTGGAGGGAAAAAAATCTCCCAAAAACCACTGAAATTGCACTGCTTTGCTGATGGATCTGTTTATAGTGGTTTTTTACCTTTATATATATCACAGTCTTATGAAAATAAATCAAACATCATGCTCAACAATACAACAGCAAGTCTGCATGAGACTTGAACTGACAACGTTCAGGTTACATCTGCTAAAGCATAAAGCACATTATAGGACCAATGTACAAAAGATGAGTGTATACACCAGATTAAGTAAAAGTTATCTCGCGGAACTTCGACTATGGGCAATATCACCAGCATAAGTGTATAATAAGTCTTTAAACCATTGATAGGGACAGAGTGTAAGGCAGCCATTGGGCGGCGGTGTATTGAGGACAGACGGTCTAGGGCAAAGTGCTTGCACTTAATTCGAGAGTCCTTTAATACTGTGAGGCAGACGCAGATTAGCAAAACTCGGGGGAAAAAGAGAAAAAAAAATGGAACAAGGCCTTTTTTTCCCTTTTGAATGAAGCACTTAACATCTAGTGTCAAGTTGTCCTGAGCGCGTTGCACAAAGCAAAGATCCCACAAAAGTTATACACGACTTACGCGATTTAAGGTCAGATGTTTTACATTAATGCGCGTCGATTCGTTTTTATTTCAGAACTTACTGTAGGATCAACGACGTTTAAAAAAGTATACTGTATGAGGAACATCTCGAAACATTTTCTGTCTGCTCAAACCAATTAAATGAAACAGATGTCTGACCACAAAACAATTTAAAAATCATCAACACGTCGACTTGACCTAGGCTCTTATTTTCAACAATTTTTCTGAATTGAGAAAAGTTAAACTCCGCATCCCCCCTTTACCAAGCTTCAGTCTGTATTGCCCTTTTCAGCAGTGCAACAGGCGGAAGGCTGTCATGACCAATTCAGTCTTGTTGTGTCGCACCATCGCTATGATGCGGGTCGTTAGCTGGGGATAATGACCACAGCCTGCCATCTCCTCGGTGGCTTAGTATAGCATCTAACGGGGAAAAAAGAGAGCAGCTTTCTCTCAAACCCAACTGAGCGGAAACAAATTTGTTTACCCGTTTTTTTTTTTTTTTATTTAATTCAAGCTAAATCTGTTCATGCAAGTATATACTACTGGCGCTACAGAAATCAGATGCCCCTTTCCAAAGCGAAATACGCGCCTAATGTGCTTGGATGCGTTTTATTACTGATGCAGGGTGTTATAATTGTTTTTTTTTTTTTTTTTTTTTACTGTGCGTGTACTGCCACATCGTACTGCTTCGTGCTGGATATCGTTTAGTGGTAAACAATTAAACAGAATACGAACGTAAATTAGCGCATTATATTAACATATTGGGCAAATTTGAAGGATACTCAAGAGGCATATCTGTCTTGTACTAATGTACTGCAATGCTGCTTTTCAGTGCAAGGCGACCTAAGATATCAGCATGCTGCATTTGGCAATATTTAATGGAAGGTATTTGTGTCTTTTCTACCAATTCTGTCTATCAGTTCAACCGACATTAAGAATACGACCATCATATGCATAAAATTATAAATCACATTACAGAAACCAATCTGCAATCGATCGTTACACACGTGCAAGATAATTTTAGACCTACGCATGATAGAAATTGCATTAAAAGTGGATACCTGGATCTTTTCTGTCATTCATCCAATTCGAGCAGAAAGCAAACAACAATACTCCAAAGTGTTATTTTTTTGCTGTCTGTAGGAATGTCTGGTGTGCGGAGGCTTGTTGCGTTTGAATAGCATTTCCCATGCAAGCCACAAGAGGGCGTCGTTTCGAATACATTATATGTATTCAAACGTTATGAGTTGAACCCTCACAACGCTGCGGGGCACAATCCAGTTTAAAGCCCCAGCGGGATGATGAGATGACAATGCATTCAAGAACTGGATATGCAAAATGGTCGTCTTATTATACTAATATTGGGGGGGAATCATTCAGCGAAAATATGTTTATTCACACTATTTTGAACCGAATCGCACGCATTGTTTTTGATATTCCGGCCAGAGTTAAAGTTAATAAATTGTCAAGCAAAATTAGTATTTCAGGCTGTATATTTCCAATCTCATTATAAATGACTTTCCCAAACTATCGAAGTTATAATCGACTGCAGTTATTAGTGAGTCCCCCTTGAAGAACTTGCTTGTGTCCCTGCATTTTCTACGGTCCTCTGCTTACATAAATGCCCACAATAGCTCCTTACTATAAATATTCTTTGAATGAAACCCTGATTAAAAGAAATGAAAGGGACCTCTCGCACACTTCCCCACAGGATTTCATAATCAAAGACTTTGCGAATCGCCGATTTGCTCGGGCGTTCAAATTGAGCCTGGCGTGCCGTAGAATTGTTTACGGGAAATAATTGCTTCATTCATTAAAATATGGTTGCCAATAATTGTTTGTGGTTGTGGGCATGGGCGTTTTAAAAGAGCCGTATTGTTTTATTGGGGAAACTACTGAAAGCTGGTAGCCCAATTTTATGGAAATCACCCCACCACCAAAAAAATGACAATCATTAGTGAAATGTCTGCGTCCACACCGACCTTGATGATACAGCTCCCTCTCAGCCGCCAGGTCATAACTCCTGCTTACAATTCTTTCATACTTTCTCGTTACAAAGGTTTAAATCACAGCAAAATTAAAGTTATTCACACAGGCCTCCATTTATGACTTGAGATAAAACGCTCTGTGCGTCTTTGAGAAGTCCTGACAAAGTAGACTCATTTCAGTTCTAATCTCCACAACTAACGTCTGAAAAATCAGAATCTTATAGTTTCTTCCCAGTTTTATTATTCGGTTTCATACCACATTCCTGAACATTTCTATTCAAATGGAAGGTCTCTGCTATGCGGAAGCCGATACTGGTCATGAAGTACGTTTATTTGTTTGTTTGTTTGTTTCGTTTTCTCGTCAGGATGTAATGCTTTTAGGGTATTCTAAAGTAAGAACACACACACACACACACATATATATATATATATATATATATATATATATATATATTTTTTATTTAAAAAAAAAAGGAAGAATGCTCTTGAACTTAAACTTTAAAAAATGTACATTTTTGTAAATACCAAATAAGTGTTACTTGGAGAATTCTTAACTCAGTGGGTATGAGGACAGTTTAATTCCACTTAAACAAACTTTTGCCATGGTTCAATTGTGTCACAATAGTGTCATAACCTGATAGTGAATGTACTGTAAGCAGCTGTCTATGACAAGCTGAAATCAATAGACATTAATCACATCAAACACTGACAGTATTTACATTAACCACAGCATAAATAGCATAGCAGTCAATCTGGTCCGCCTTCATTTCACTAGCCTGTCAGCAGCAAAAGATGTCTGCTCTTTCATATATGTTTTTCTCACTCTTTGAAGCTGCAACCACAGAATCCATAAGTGTTTACACTTCCTTTCAGGCCTGTGAGTTATCCACATGTAGATTGATAGAGAAGTCTAATGTGTACTGATCCTTATAAAACGGCATTCTGTGCCACAAAGATAATTGTTCTGCAGCTTTCTGTGCCATGAATCATAAAACAACCTGGGATAAACCCAGGGGTTCCGTATTAAACAGCACGGTTTACTGATATTGAGATTTTTAGTCTCATAATCTTATAATTTTAACACAGATCCAAGCATGTGAAGTAACTGCTCCACTGGACAGGAGTGTACTCATGAAAATAAATAGTAATAATATAAAGAAGTTTAAAATGGGCATTTTTTATAGTCAGTTTTAAAAATTTCATCCTTAGCAATTAAACTCAAGGAGAAATCAAAACAGCAAGGAAGCCATTGCAGAAAAAAGTTTAGGGGTTTACATTCTTGTTATTTTTATCCTTTGGGGGGGGGGGGGGGGCACAGGTGCAAATTTAGCACTGGTGAAAAAGCTAGATAAATCTCTAAACACTGGTCAGAAAGAGAGACTGTTTTCACACTAAAAATAGAATTTGGCGAAGGGACGTTTGTTGCTCATACTGTTTTAAGGTCATATGACTTAATACGGTCACTGTAATACTTATGACCAAGGTCAAATAAAGAGGCCACCCTGTAAATCTGTTACATAACACTGTGACAACTTGGCTCCTTCTTTTATGAGCGGAATAGAATTTTATAATGGTGTGTTTACTCCAAAATGGGATCAAATTCATTCATAACAACAGCTTTACAGTGAATGAATTTTGATAGTATTAGTCACTGTGAGTTACTATTTTTAGTCTAAGTAACCCACAGCACTGCCAAGGCTCAATCAATAGAATTAAGATACTGATTTTTCTTCCAAAATATGTAACTTTTGGCCACTATACCCCTTGAATTTAAATGCTTGTATAATTGAGTTCTCCTCCCCCACCACATTGGATGGCTCCGATTTACCATTTTAATTGACTGTTTGATCACTTTTCAATTGACTATTTATACGAATGTTTCACAAGCTGTGGGAAAGGATATTGAACGCCACTCTATGGTGAGTCTAGGTGAGATTAAAGGCTTGTTGCTTCTCTGTAGAGGACACTATATGAAGACACATTATTAAGCTTGTAAATTAGCTTGGGCGGTGTTTGGACAGAGGGTCCCTCCCCAAGCTTAATCTGCAGCTTTACTCTCCATCCAACGGCAGCTTCGAGCACAAGGCAGGAATGTGTAAATTTTATTTTTGAGCCCCCAGGGCCAGCTGTGCAAACTGTGTTCTTGTGGCTAAATGGGCGTTTATTGTCAGGGTGCGGGGTGGTAGGGCTGGGGGCTGGGGGTTGGGAGGGGATTAAGGCAAATCTCTTTAGCCTTTCACGGCACAATCAGAAGTCATGCCGAGCTTCAGTGCTCTTGGGGGCTTCAAGGTCCCTTCGGAAACTCAGCTCTGATCTCATGCTGCAGAAGAGCAGTAGGACTGTAGGGTTTCAAGAGAAATTAAGAGCCAATACACTACTGATTGTGTATTAGGAACCCAAAAATAAAGGGAACAAAACAGTACTAACATGCTAGAGTCAGTATGGTCAAGAACCTAGAATCATAACAGATTTATGATGCTAGATTGTCAAGCCAGGTACTTGCTTTTAATAGCTGACTTCAGTTAAATGTCTATATGGATTAACTGGATTTTACTATATGGCACCTTGAGAGGATGGTAATTAGGTAATTTGGGAGACAGAGACTGCTCGGTAATTAGTCACACGAGAATTGACTGAGACCTGATAATGTCAATTTAAATAATGAAAGAAATCAAAGTGGTAGTGGGAATTATCCTGCTCAAATTTACACAGTAAGGTCCTGAAGTGTATTTTCAGACATGATAATTTTGTGAAAGTTTGCTTTAAATAAGACTTTCCCATTGTAGTATCTCTTCGACACTTAAAAAATTGAGGTAAAACTTGAAGTAAAACCTTACAAGGATTTGTATTTTAGTGGTTTATGGTTAAAACAGTTAAAAAATGAACAATCAGGTCAGCAAGTATGCATGTATTCTGTCTTATGTATGAATCCATCCATCTTCCACTTTCTTATCCCAGTCAAGGTCGTGTGTGTGTGTGTTTGGGGGGGGGGGGGGTGGGGTGGCTAGAGCATGGGGCACCAATCTGGGGTGCACCCTAGATAGAATGGCAGTTCTTCTGTATGCTTACATAAATAAATGATTTAAAATATACACAGTGTTGATGCAGGGAAAGACAGCACTATTGCTTGATTCACCCATCCTTACATAACCTCAGTTCAGGGTCCCAGTGAGCCGGGGGCCAGCTCATTATAGATGATGCATGCACTGAATTAAGCATTTTGTAACAAACATTTTATGTAAAAACACATTTGAGGAGCAGATTTCCAAAATTTGCTCAATGTTTTGTTGTTGTTTTTGAGATGAGACCTCCAGTGACGTAAAGCCAGGCTTCCTCATCATACGTTACAGTATTGGGAAACTCACTCATTGAACTCACTCAGTCCTCACGTAATCCAAAGAGCTTTTGTTACATTTCCAAAAATGGTACTTACTTATTAAAACTTTTCCATCCTTGTGTACTATGGACTGGGTGTTTTGGAGATTTACACTTCACCTGTAATAGAATAAAGATATTTTATTTAATCAAAAGGAAAAATCTGTTTTTTTGCTCCATCTTGCTCTCCATACAGGTGAGAGCAAGCTGGGGGGGTCGCAGCAAAGGGGCAGCCACCTTGCAGCGCCCAGGGAGCTGGGGGTTAAGGGCCTTGCTCAATGGCCTAATGACATGTGATTATTCTACCGAGGCCAGACCCAAAGAAGCAACCTTCTGATGGTTTTGATCACCCATTTTGATCGCCCTTCATCTCTGTCTACCTCCAGGTGAGTCTCCGGAAGCTGTCAATTTCCAGATCTCCAAAGAAGGCAGTGAGATGAGCCTGGTAGAGCAGGCCAATGTGTGGCTCTTCCTTAAGCTGGCCAAGAACAACCGCAGTCGGGCCAAAGTGACTATCCGGCTTCTGCAGCGGCGTGCGGGCCTGGGTGGCATGGCCGAGGAGACCACCGTGGCGGAGAAGGCGGTGGACACCCGGCGCAGTGGGTGGCACACGCTGCCTGTATCTGCCGCTGTGCAGGCACTGCTGAGCAAGGGTGGTGGCATCCTGGGCTTGCGGGTCACCTGCAGCCAGTGCGCCGATGCTGGGGCTGCGCTGCTGCTGGTCGGCCGTACGGAGCGCGAGCAGTCACACCGGCCATTCTTAATGGCAGTGGTGCGGCAGGCTGGGGAGCGACCGCACCAGCGGCGCAAGCGAGGCCTGGAATGCGACGGCAAGATCCGCATCTGCTGCAAGAAGCACTTCTACGTCAACTTCAAGGACATCGGCTGGAACGACTGGATCATAGCCCCACATGGCTACCACGCCAACTACTGTGAGGGTGACTGCCCGAGTCACGTGGCCGGCATCACTGGCTCCTCCCTCTCCTTCCACTCCACGGTCATCAACCACTACCGCATGCGGGGCTACAGCCCCTTCACAAGCATCAAGTCATGCTGCGTGCCCACGCGCCTCCGCGCCATGTCCATGCTCTATTACAACGAGGAGCAGAAGATCGTCAAGAAGGACATCCAGAATATGATCGTGGAAGAGTGCGGCTGCTCGTAGGGATCGGCAGCCTGCGGATGGCACCCGGCGCTCGAGCAGCATCGCTACTCGAACAAATCAAATAAAAATAAACAAACAAACAGTGAGACGGAAGGAGAGCAGGTGAAATATTTCACGTCTGCCCTCTAGAGAAAAATATTTATTTTTTTGTTTAGAGTTCCGATGGTGTGACTCCGATTTGCTTTCGGTCATTAGCAAATCTGACGGATATTGGCAACTCAGAGCTCTCTCTGAGGCACTTTCAGAAAAAAAGAATATATAATAATATATTTTTGTTACACAACAGAGGGAGTGGAGAACGGGACAGTGTGTATTTATGTGGCCAAGCTGCAGTGTGTCCTGTCTTTCTGCGTGGCAATAAATGAGATTCCTGTTGCCTAAAGAAAAAAAATCTCAAAGCTATGCAACTTGTCAAGTATTATGGTTTGAATTTTTGTGATCGTTTTGTTTTCTGAACTGTGTATCTTTTCAAACAAAAAGGAGAAACCTTTTTGATACATATTTTGGTGTATGTTTTGTGTTTTTGTCATTGAAAGATACTTGAAAGAAACAAGTTTGACCAGCTGCTGGAGCCAAACACTTCTCTATATTATTATTATTATTATTATTATTAATATTATAATAATTATTATTATTATTGCCATTGTTGTTTTCATTGTCAGTGTTGTTATTGTCTTTTTTTGTTCGACATCTTCTTCTTGCCTCGTTTCCTAAAAAAAAAAATGTTCTAAGCGTTTACAATTTGCACTATACAAACATTTTGATTAGCCTAGTCACAATTATAATATATATCGGAATACAGAGGAGTTGCACTTAAGAATGGCTAAACCTGCGGAGCACATAATAAAATAAGAGCCAACAGTGACAATGTTAACCCAAGTACACGCATACGCATCTATATATTCAATTATACTCTTCTGTTTTTGAGAGAACACCAAAGATGCTTGTCGAAAGTGTGAGGCCCTCAAAGTGTCCAGTCCAGTGAAGCAATCTCCCTCGGTTTTATCTTCCCACCTGCAACGTGTCCTTTTGTCCTTAGTAGCTTTGGTCCTTAACTCTTCACGCATAGAACCCAAAGTATATTTCTGTACTGCTATTGCAGTGATTGGCAGTCGTCCATAAACAGAGAAAAGGCACTTATGACCAATGTTGTGGTGATGTGTGTGTTCTAATGAATGTGCAGCATTAATATCATCAATGATATTCAAAAAAGCACTCTGTGTCTGTTTTATTATATGATGCAAGGAATTTCTTATTGTGATTTCCACAAGTATTGGGAAAATCCCTCTATACCAGCTCATAGTCATAGTATTTGGTTTTTTATATGTTGTAAAGAATTGTTTTCCCTGCTTATTGCATTCAACACTGTACCACTGTGCAATGTCTGATATCGAGCTATTTGAATATTTTACATACAAAGTTTGCTTTGCAGGATGGACTGAAAGAAAATCCATATATTGCAATCTTTTCCTGACATACATATGTACAAAAACAATAAATATGGAAAGAAAAAAATATGAAAAAAAAAACAAGAAAAATACAAACCGAAAAAAAAACATTGTTTTCCTTTTTTCAGAACAAAATAAATAACACTGAAGAAAGTGTGTGAAATAAGGCTTAAAATATATTTTATTTTTATTATATGTATATATGAAGATCCAGATACAGATATGTTGCATTGCTTTGTTGTACAAATCAAAAATGTGCTTGTGGCTATGTTTTCTATCTAATTTATTTACAGTAATTTTTGCTTCACTATTAAAGCTAAAGGGTTGTACACTAATTCATATGGTTGAGAAATTTATTATTTTCTGTTGCATTTCTGTTTTGCCTATTTCGGTAAAAGGAAACAAGCTTCTTGCCATCTGACATAAAGTCCAACGGGAAGTTGTAAACCTTTCATGGTCGAGAATATACAGCGCAGAGCACGATCCAACACGAGCCAATGGAACTGAATGAAAGAATACAAGAATACAATTAAAATATCAAGGAATGGTTGAAACAGCAATACTGTTTTTATTTAAAATCTGTATTCTTTTAGGACAAAAGCGAGGGCAATTATAGCACTGGTGCCAACGTTAATAAGCATTCACCAAAAAATATTATGAAAAGCAGACTTTTTTTACACTGGAGGACAACTCACTGGAACAATTTACTGCCAGGAGAAACACTGGACATCTTACTTTAACTCAATTTTTGTTGTCTGATTTGATAAAAATCGCTTCCGAGAAATAAACAGCATTATATAGATTTAAATATGTAATATCAGCAGCACCATGAGGACCCTCACAATGTGAGGAATAATTTGAGTAGTTTGAATAATTAGATTGAGACATGTATTGGTCACATGACGCAGGGGAATCTCACGGTAATGCCATTTCAAGATGTCCCAAAGCGATGAAAGAGCAAGACCTCCCCGTGAACCTACAGAGATCTATTTTCAGACATAGCTGGGTCTTCTGTGAGATTTTCAAAGATGATTCTTTTACAGCAGTACATCTCATCTTTGTGCTGTTTGACCTTGGTTTTAGGTCTATATAGACGAAACAGAAAAACCAACTCAATTTTCTTTATTTCCTTCTGGGCATAGTCCTGCAACTGAACACTTGACAAGAGTGAAACATTAAATATATATTTTGGGGAAATATACAGTCACTAAAACCATATAGGCCCTAATCATGTTAGGCCAAAATGCTGATATGCATGTCGACAGTTAAGAGGAAGAGAGCCGTCTCTGAAGAAACCATGCATTTCATATGCGTTTGCAGTGTTATGTTTTTCGTTGTGTTTATGTGTCGTTTTGCAGAGGGTCTGATTCGCAAGGATTAGAGGAAATCTGACTTGTTCACATACAGAGCCAGACAGGAAATGCACACTATCACAAGCCATGGAAACATTTTTCTAAAGAACTTCACTACTTAGGCTTAAGCTACAAATGCACCACTTAACTATAAGAGTGACTGTTGGTGTATCATGTATAAATGGGCATAATCATGGGCTTCAGCACCTTGTAAAAGCTTTATCCTGGATTTAGGATTCAAGTCAGGACTTTGACTGGGTCAATCAAGTACATTCACTTTCTTATTCTACAAGTGTAGCTTTGGCCTTGCTGGATCCCTGCCTCAAACTTGCTCCTCTTGCAGAATTAAACAGGATCTGTCCGGCCGCTTTAACTTGGCTTTATCCATTTTTCCTTCAGTCTTAACAGGCCTTCCACACAGTCCTGCCCACATCATGATGTGGCCACACTTGTGATAAGCTTGCGTTTAACGATAGTGACATTTAGAGCAAAAACAGTAACTGGCCTTCATAAGTCAACTCATCTGTTTTATAGTCACATCTCTCTGGTGCGTTTGAAATGATTTAGAAAGGAAAAAAGAAATTATATATATATGTACTGTATATATATATGTGTGTGTATATATATATATGTATATGTATATATATATATATATATATATATATATGCACACACACACACACACATATGCCATGGATAGCGTTTATGGTTCCATGTTAAAGCCTAAACTTCTTGCAGTGTTCTGGCCTGACTTTGCTACTCTTTGCCAGCTTCCTTCATGGCTGACTGTTCACATCGAATCAAAGGCCTGCTCTTGCAATCTTTTGTGCAGCATCATGCTAAAATTCAGTTATAATGTTTGAACGCAAACCGCAGAGTACAAGTGAGTGAATATAATGCTCAGTTTTGCCTTTAAAGGGGCAGTAGACCACCCTGACTCTCTGAGCAGAGAGCCAGAGCTAATTTTCCCAGCTATTTCTGATTTGTACGCTTTAAGCGGTTCTTAATTGCTTCTAGGTGTTGTCAGTCAGCTGTCAGGAAGTTTCAGGACAATTCAGTATTACTGGAAACTTTTCTGGGGTTTTTTTCGGCACTCCAAAACCAAAATGCCATTGAATTCCACTTTAAAAGAATCTGGAATGGCGGACAGCCACTGCTGGGTCAAGTTTCTAGCAGATGAAAGCAATGTAAAAACTATGATGTTTTTGTATGCGGTAGAAATGTTCCACACCTCCGCAGAGTCTCCTTCCATCACTTGTCAGCAGGATATGGTGAGCTTCCGTGCAAAGCAAGGCCCAACTTACCCAACTGTAATTATACTTTCCCCACTCAGCAAATAAAATTAGCCAAACTAATGGCCAGGTCGCTTTGAAAAGGGTGGTAATTGATTCAAAGTGCAAAACAAATCCTTTGTACACTACCCTAAATTCTATCCTGTGGCTTTTCCCTGTGGTTACTGGAGGACTGCAACAAGGATTCCTGACAAGTAGGGCAAGCAGCATCTGCAAGGTTGCCCTGTAGCTAGAGACTTGGCTTTTTTTGGTTCTTCATTGTGGGATAAATTATATTAGAGCAGTGTTTCCCAACCCAGTCCTCGGAGACCCACATACAGTCCACATTTTTGCTCCCTCCCAACTCACTGCCATCCAGTACACATTTTTGCTCGTTCTCCGCCCTGGGTAGCAAAAATGTGGACCGAATGCGGGTCCCTGAGGACTGGATTAGGAAATATTGTATTACAGCAGTGGTTCCCAAACTGGGGGGCGCAGAGGTATTGCGCACCAATGGAATAGCCGCAGGGGCATGTGCCACCCTAAAATAATCTCTTAACAGACTGGATGATTAAACAAATAAAGCAGCGCAACATTACAGTAACTAACAATAAATGAACCACTAACTTACGTGTACTATTAGAGCATTTATGTAATTTATTTAAACTTTATTTTACCAGGTAAATTAACTGAAAACCAGTTCTCACTGCTTTACATGATATTCGGGAGGAATAGCAGATAACACATCGGAACTTCCTGGGATACAAACGACACGTTTTTCAGCCATTAAGGGCAAAGTTGTGTCGTCATGGAGGCTGTCCCAGTTTGTTCACCTGGCTGAGAGGTGCTGTACGATCTGTCTTAGGTCGTCTTGCTCTTGCAAGGTTTTTGTACCATGTGACATGGTGACGCGTGACGACGTTTTGCAGCGCCGGACAAAAAACCATATCATGAAAAACAAGGTTTTAAATTTTCTACATGAAGTGCAGGGAGACTATCAATGAATGGGTATGATTTAGTGTTGTTTTGTGCTATAGTATAGGCTGAAACCTGCAGTCATCATTAAAAACAAAATGCAAACGTAAGACAAACTTTAATTTGTGTACGCCAATGAATATTAACAGGAATGTTAAATCAGCATTAGCATAATTTCAGACTTTTGCTGGACTTTTATTTGTAATTGATTGCTCTTTTTTCTCCCACAGTGGTGAAATTGCACCATTTGTATTTTGTAATTGCATTTGTTTCACTCAATTAGAAAAGGGAGTTGTATTTCAAATAAAGTTTGAATCTGAACCTGTGTAGTTTGAATGGGGGGGGGGGGGGGGGGCTCAATAATGTTCCTATCTAGAAAAGAGGGGCCCTGCAGAGAAAGTTTGGGAACCACTGTATTAGAGGTACATATGATGGGATGATTTGTAGCTCTGCAGATTAAGACTGCAGGTGTCTGTGACTGGAAGGTTGGCAGTAAGACTCCTGCGGCATGCAGAGTAATGGACCCTTGAGCAAGGACTTTTACTCCGAGTGTTCCAGGGACCTTCTGAACTGTCCCTCTCTTTGGATAAGTGAGTGCCAAACAAAATTAATTGCTTCCTTTATTGAGGAACACCCTTAAATTACGTACAACATACAACTGATAGCATCCATATGATCAACTGAAGGAAGAAACAACAAGGGTGAAGTTAGGTAATGTCTGGTTATCTAGGATATACTCTCTAAATCTGGCTCGTTGACAAGATGAATACTGTACAATATTCGCAATATAGTAGGATCAGGGGCATAGGAACTGGGGGGGTGTACACCCCAATGTTTAATTTGGTTTCATTCATTCCCCCTATAAATAGACCTTTGCTTTTATATTAATATATTATATATTAATAAGTACTATTAAGCTGTATCCCTCCAATATAAATCTGTTTCTCGTATGTCATTGTGTACCATGCGAGATTATAAAAACAGCTTCCCAGATAGGCTCCAGACCCCTGTTACTGTGCATAGGCCAAGCAGGTATGGAAAATGGATGGATAGATTATAAAAACAGCTGTAATTAAAATTATGTGCCCCTCATCAAGAATAAGATGTCTTCATGTCTGTGTTTCTATACACAGATTACACTACAAGACACCGGTCCTTAGCATATCTTAGAATTTTTATTACAGTTTAGCTATACAATGTCATTCATAAATAAATTATAGCATAGCACTGTATATTTTATGAAAACTGTAACATTTTAATAAATAAAAAAATAGACTGTTTTTATGGTTGCCAGATTTTGTTAAACACATCAAAGTGTCACAGGATTTCTCCCAGCAACCTAAGGATTCCTGAGATTGTTAGAGCACTGACATCACCGCTACCGAAAGAGGTTCAGCCTGTCAGTGTGTTTTCCTAGAAAGCACACAGTCAATTCCATTCTCAGACTCCAGCAAAAGCGTCCGGATGGAATCTTTGAGTTCACCTGGTGCATAAACAAGCTTAGAGGTGAGAATTATTTAGAAGTCGGACAGGAAAATGCGGATTGATGCAAAACTCATGGAGACCATGAGAATGAGTACTGACTGCATGCTGAAGCATAACGAGATGAAGGGGACGGAAAGCCAGCAGAGATTATGACAAGACCATGCGGTTGTGCCACCGAGGGGGAGACTGAGATTTACAGCACCATCAATGGAGTGAGAAAGACGGAGAACATTCCATTCCTGGAGAGCTGAT